GCATTTTCCTATACTACCAATAACAATATTACTATTATTGGTAATTTAAATGCCCATTGCATTAAATGGCTTGACTCTAGCACCACTGACCTTGCTGACTTTGACACTCAAAACCTTTTTTCTCTCACTTACTCAGCTAATTATCCTTAGGACTCAGAACTTGTTTTCTCTCTTCATGACTCTTATAAAGTATTTAACAAGTACTTAACTGAATCTTGTTTTTCTAGCTGCTGAAAAATGGTAATATTAGTGGTTTTAATTTTTAAAAACTCTAGAGGTTCTCTGACCTCTCTAACTATTGTGGGATAAAGTTCTCTCTATTATTAGCAAATATTTTTTGCCAAATCAACCTTTATACTATGATAAGCAAAAGCATTTTGATCAATAACTAATAACTTTTCTAATCTTGAGTCTAACAACTAATTCTCTAACAACTGCCTTATGGTTCATCATTTTACTGGTGGCTTAACTACTGAAAAAACAGATTTTACTGCATTAAAACAGAAACATTTTATTATGGATATAAAGCAATGAGGCAAGAACTATTCCTCTAGATTTATCAAAGGCTTTCAAAGCCTAGCATACTTCAAGCCTTCTCTATAAGCTTGCTTAATTCTAAACTCTTTTTTTAAGCTTACTTAAAAAATAATTAATAATAACTTGCTTAGTAATGGTGTATCTGTTTTAAGTTTAAACTATTAAATAATTTAATAGTTTAAACTTAATAAATATTAAATAATATAAAGCTTTCCTTGATGGAAAATAATTCTTTTTTTATCCAGTTCTGGGGTACCACAATACTGTTGATATTCCTATATTAATTAATGATAACACTCTTAATGAGTTTTCTACTTTAGATCTTTTTTGATTGCCCTTCACTGCTGATCTCTCATGCAAACCATAATCCACAATCCTTTTTAAATCTAGCATTTCTAACTTGAGCCCCTCTTTTTTTTTAGAAAAGCTCAAAAATGCATTTTAAAAGTTGGAACTGCTCTAGCTGCTAAGCTTGAGAAACTATTCTATCATTGAAAGATTACATCTTCTACAAATACTGCCTGCTTAAGTAAGCTATTATCACTTGCTTTATCAACCAAAACTTAATATTCTTTATTTTGTCATTCCATCACATTCTTTTACTTCAAATTTTTCTTCAAACTCAAAACAATTTTATCTAGTTTTTTTTTTCTGCAAACATCAATGCTTTGAAATTTTTTCCTGTCTTCATGTTTTCCTTGGAAATACAATTTACAGTCTTTTTTTAAACAGTTTTCTTGCTCAAAAGAAATGCTGCTTTTTGTTAAAAGCTTTTAAAAAGTACAAACTTCTCTTAATTTGCTAAATTTTAACAAACTGTATAACTAACCTCTTGATTATCTGTATATATTTAAAATTATAATTACAAAGTTTTTCAACTTACACTATTAAACACAACTTCCCAGTAGTCAAGGGTGCATACTTGCATTGAAGTTAACATTGCATAAAAAAAATTATCATAATTCACATATTTATCATTGTTTGGTGCAACATCTGGAACGCATGTCCATCCATCCTCACACGTCCTGCAATGAAAACTTCTTTTCAATTGTTTTCTTTCCTATTTCTTAGATAAAAGCTTAATTGAAGTAAAAAACAAATAACAGAACAAATACATTTTGTCTTTTCTATTTGGTATATTCTATATTATAAATATACATTTAACTTTATTTTTGATTTGCAAAAACCAACAAAAGTTAAATTCATACCAGGCAGACGATGCATTCCCACATATATGTGTCAACATATTTCCAGGAACATTTTGCCATTCTTTGCTAAAAATAGCCATTGTATTGTTGGGATCATTTCTAACACACCTTGACCTTAGTGATCCTAGAAATAATTGTAATCCAATGAGTGCCAAAACAGCTATGAAAAACAGTGTAAGTATCAAAACATCCGCCATCATCTTCACAGACTTTAACAATGTATTGACCATGGCTTTTAAACCTGAAATTAAACATTTTTTATTTTTCATTTTACAGAAAACTTTGTGTTTATACATCAACATTTAATAAAAACTATAATTAAATTTAAAAAAAGTTGAATAATTTAATTAAAAATAAGGCACCTTTGACTGTTGATATTGTTTTCAAAGCTCTTAAAACTCGAAAAGTTCTTATACTATCAAGATTATTGATTTGTGGATGCAAAGTTACATAACTAAATATAAGTAAAAAATAAAGTTACATAACTAAATATAAGTAAAAAATAAAGTTACATAACTAAATATAAGTAAAAAATAAAGTTACATAACTAAATATAAGTAAAAAATAAAGTTATATAACTAAATATAAGTAAAAAATAAAGTTACATAACTAAATATAAGTAAAAATAAAGTTACATAACTAAATATAAGTAAAAAATAAAGTTACATAACTAAATATAAGTAAAAATAAAGCAAAATCACTGGATTTCTATTCACAAAAAAAAAAAAAAAAAAAATTACAGAACTTCTGATCAACTCTAAGGTGGTTGAGGATGTTAACTCTGAGGTTACCATGGATACAAATTTTTATTATCATTATTTATGATCAGTTACAGGAAACATGTAACAGGGAATTAAAAAAAATTAGCAATTAGTTTTTAGCAAATAAACCATCACTTCATCCTGAAAAAACAAAAATAATGGTATTTGGTCCCTCAAAAAAATATAGAAGTAAAGTTACAAGGTCTCAAAATTACCCAATGTGGAGAAAAACATATAGAAAAAAGTGTTAGCATTCTTGGTATTGTTTGGGACGACAAAATGATGTGGCATCACAATATAGTACAAGCATCAAAAAAGATAAGTAAAGCCATCTACCTATTTACGAAGTTTAATAAACTATTGCCTTGTAAATCTAAAGTTGTTTTATATACAATGCTTTAATTAGAAGTCATCAATAGATCAAGAGTGTTAAATGGCTATTAGAATCCAATGGAAGATATGTGTTGGATTAGCACTATAATCTTTGATTAATGATTTTAGCTGGGATAACATTAATAATTCTTTAAGAATTAACAGAAGAATAGCTCTTTCAAATTTTACAAGTTGTGTATTGGCAAATCAAGCAACTAACAAAATTGCAATTGAAGATAATCGATTGAAAGATACTGATTAGTTTTTTAGCGCAAAAGAATTCAAGAACCAAACAAAAAAAAAAAACATTTGTGCTTTTAAAATGACTTTGTAATGTCTTAATATCGGTTGCGCTGAATGTCGATAGAAAAATTTTATTTCTTTTTTTTACAGTATATTAGCTGTAAAAATTAGGGAATAATGGAGACACCTTTCATAAAGTATTATCCCTTTTCAAGTTAAATTTATCTTTTTATTGTAAATTTATATGATACTGAAGAAATTATTAATAAACAAATAAATGAAAAAATTTAATAGCAGTTATAATTCAATTAGTTTGTAATTTGTGTTTAAAGTTCATGTCGAATTGATAGTTTTAAAAAAAAAAAAAATTTTTGTAAAATTTAATATTACATAATTTTGCAACTCAAAGTAATTATTGAATTTTAAACACTCTAAATTAAAAAATAATTTTGAAGAAAAAATTTTAGACAAATTATTTCAAATAAAAAAAAAAAAATGTCAACAGCTTATAACTGTTTATATAGTTTCAAAAAATAGACTGAATTGGAATTTTTTATTATTATCTCGAGTAATTATAATTATAATTTTTATAAATTATATTTATATAAAAATTATATTATAATTTTATTTTTAAATATTTTGATTAAAAAGAACTAGTATGTAATATAAAAACTATAAAATATTTATTTTCTACATTAAAAATAATGAACAAGCAACGAAATAATTAACATTAGAACTTTTTTTAAAAGAATAGTTAACTAACAAAATTAAAAAGAAAGAAATAGTGTAACAACAGCTTAGAAAGTTGACTGTAGAAAATAAGTAAATTTAAGTATTTAAAAAACAATACCATCATTAATATTTTTGGGATTTACAATAGCTCTCAAAAAAGGCAATTTGCTGTTAGTTAAATTGTTAATGTATTCAGAAAAAATAATTTTTTTTTAAATTCTAGGATGAAGTATATAGATTAACAATTAAAATAACTTAAAGACATAACAGATAAAATGAAGAATAAAATCCCAAATAGAAGAATAAAAACAAGCTTTTTAATAAAATAAATAAAATTTTAGTGTTTAAAATAACAAAAATCGTAATTTAAAAAAAAATGTTTTCTTTGGATGAAAAAACAAGAACTAAAAAAATGACTTACCCTATAACAACAACAACAAAATCCAACCAATTCCAGGAATTTCTTAAATAAGAATACTTGTGTAAAATAAATCCTTTTGCCAATATTTTAATAAACATCTCAATTGTATAAATAGCAGCAAACACATACCTAATTTATTAAAATTAAAAGCATTAAAAAATCAGGGAAATTTATTAAGAATCATCAAAAATTTAAGACAAAACTTGACCTATCAAGACATGAAATGATACAAAATAAGTGCTTGTCTGTTGAATCACTATCAAGGATAAGGCAGAACTGTTTGCAAAGAACTTTTCTTCTAATTCCACTCTTGTATCTTATGGACATTCTCTTTCTTCCATTTCAGTCAAACAGGTTGACCCATTGTTAGACATTCAAATCACTCCGGCTTCTGTTGCTAAAGTCATATCTCAATTAAACTCGTCTACAGCTTGTGGTCCAGACAACATTCCTGTCACAGTCTTGCAGAATTGTTCTCCAGAACTTTCTTCAATTCTCTCTAAACTATTTAACAAGTGTTTGACTGAGTCTTGTTTTCCTGCTTGTTGGAAAATGGCATCTGTGGTTCCAATATTTAAAAACTCTATTAGAAAATTCTGACCCCTCGAATTATCGTCCGATCAGTCTTCTTTCTGTTATTTGCAAAGTTTTTGAGTCTTTGATAAACAAATTTCTCACATCCCATCTTGAGTCAAATAAATTACTGTCAGAAAATCAATACGATTTTCAATACGACTGACTTGCTAACTGCTGTGACTCGAAGACCTTATCATGCATTAGATGGAGGCGAAGAAGCTAGGGCTAATGCTTTTGATATATCTAAAGTTTTGGATAATGTTTGGCATGCTGGTCTTCTCCATAAGCTAGTTTCATAAGGTTTATCTAGGAAAGTTTTTGAAATTATCAAATTATTTCTTTCTAAACGCTTTATTAAGGCCATCCTCAAAGGCCAACACTCTTCTTTGTTTCCAGTAACTTCTGGGGTACCTCAGGGCTCTATCCTCGGTCCTATTTTGTTTTTTATCTACATTAATGATCTTTTCGACAACCTTACATCTAAAGTAGCTCTTTTTGCTAATGACTCAATTTTATACATTATGCCTTGACAAAAAGCCTTCTCGTTTTGATTGCTTAGAACAGGCAGCTGATCTTGAATCTGATCTCAATTCTGTAACAGATTGGGGCTCGCAGTAGCTTGTAAATTTTAACTTCAACAAAACTCAGTTATTTACTGCAAACAACTATTGCAATACTGTCAACAATCAATTAATGAATGGCAACCTGAGTTGCCATTCATTAATATAGGATGCCATTCATCTCACTGAGTTCTCTTTTTTACATCTTCTTGGATTATTGTTTACTGCTGACCTTTCATGGAAACCATATATACAATTGATTGCTAAAATAGTATCTGCTAAGGTTGCTTCTCATTATCATGTTCGCCATTTTCTCTCTCCTGATTCCATTCTCTACTTCTAAAAATCTCTTATTTGTCTCTCTATGCAATACTGTTGACATATTTGAGCTGATTCTTCTAATAAAGTTCTAAAGGATGAAATGAAATAAAATTCAATCTCGTTTGATTCGCCATTCAGCAAAGTCTCATTTATTTACTGTATTAGTCTAAGTATGCTCTAAAAATTTTTATGTTTCTAGTTTATTTCCCTTCGCTTCAACACTTTGGAACTCTCTCCCATCTTTATGTTTTCTTAACTTATACTACCTTCAACTTTTTAACTTTTCCGTTGACCATTTTCTTGCTCTATAACTCTATTCTTTTTTTCTAGTAACTCCCAACTTAATAGTGAATGCTTGCAGCCTTGTTGGTAGTGAATCAAAATTAAAAAAAAAATTGAATTACTCATAAATAGATATTTCAAAAAGTATTTTTATTTTAGCTTAAAACTTACTCTGATAGCTGAGGAGGATGACTTAGTGCCATGAAAACACAATTAGTAACTATTGTAAGCAATATAAAGACTTCAAAATATCTGCATATTATGTCAAAAGAAAACATTATAAGTAGAATTATGAAAAAAAAAAACATTTAATTTATATTTAATTACATTTAATTAAATTTAAAAAAATTCTAATTTAATAACTATATTCATCGTATTATAATTGGTTTATTTATATTTTTATACTTTTAAATGAAAAATGTAAAATAATGAAAATTTGAAACAAAAAAAGTAAAAATTTGATAAATTTGATTCTGAACACTACAACAATCTTTGCCTAAATAGAGCTAAAAACTATGGAATTAATCTTTTAATTGATAAGAACTTTCATTATTTTGAAATGCAATTTGCTAATTGTAAAAACTGTAAAATTTAAAAAGTTAAGTCATTTTTATTTTACTTCAATTTTATTTTTATTTTACTTTTTTATTTTTTGATTAAATTGTTGTCCAAAATTCTTTTACCTCTAAAGAACCTAAGTGAAAACCTCAGCAAACAGGGCTGCTGTGCTGAGAAACAATTGATTTTTTGAAACGAAATAAATAAATTACAAAATGATATAAATAAAATAGCCAAATGATGTCACAAATGAAACTTAATGTAAGTAAATGCAAAATAATGCATTTTGGTAGACATAATAAAAAAAAGAATAGATATAGATATAATCTTAGACTATAATCATAACATAAAAATTCGAATTGCAGTCTCTAAATAGAAAAAAACTTAAGAGTTATGGCATCTACAGATGGAAAATACAACCAAAATATCAATTACAGAGCTAACAAAATACTAGGTTTAATTAACACACCTTTGAATTCTACAACTTCTCAATTCACTATCTAAAATATCATATAAAGCCTCTATTATTATATCTACTCGAATATGCCTTTACTATATATCTTCTCGAATATGCAGCACCAGTCTGGAATCCATCAAAGAAATACAGTATATATGGAAAATTTCAAAGAATAGCAACTTAAATTAGAAGCCTCTTACATCTAAGTTATGAATCATGATTAAAAAAGTTTAATATTACAATGCTGGAAGCTCATAAGTTAAGAGATTTAATTGTGTGCTTCAAAACTGTCCATGATAATACAAGTTAAATGGTGTACATCTACATCAAAAATAATCATAAAACTTGAAGAGTTATTGGAACAATCTGCATACAGATGAAGTCCTATTCAATTCAAAAAACAATTAATAAAATAATGTTGTCTATTAAGAGAGAGTTTTATTCTTAATAGAATAGCCACTGTATAAAATCGTCTTCATCTATCATGCTATCTACATCAGTAAAAGTATTCAAAAAACAATTAGACAAATAAATTAAAAGCGAAAATAAAATCCCCAACTGATATAGAGTGTGCTTATTACGTACTCTCGTTTGACATTATAAACATTAAAATTTTTGTCATAAATTATTTTAATTGTTATTTTTTTAAATTTCAGTAGTTATTATTTTTTATATCACAAAAACTGTTAGTTTAAAAAAAATTAAGGTTTTAAAAACTTGTGAAATTCTAAGTACATATATTGTCAGATATAATGCAACTGATGTAATTTAACTGGTATAAATGATAAATGTAAATGATAAACTGGTTTTTAAAACCTGTTACATCTTGCATTTTGGCTTTTAACAACTCTCATTTTAATTCTCTAACCACTAATACAAAAAGTAATCTTTTAAGTATATTATATATAAGATTAGAATCTCAAAACCTAACCACAAAATCATAATGGATACTGTAAAACCTATCAAGTGCATACAAATTTCCTAAGCTTTGCACTTCAAGATGAAGATGTTATTTAATAATTATTTAAATATAATTATTTTAAATTTTATATTTGTAATTCCGGAGAATTATATTTAGCTTCAAAAAGTAATTAGGAATTAAAATGTGCAGATGTTAAAATAATTTAGATTATTTGAGGAAAAAGAGCTTAAACTGCTATTTTGTATTGTATGCTTCCGCTAAGTATATAAGACTATTATGTTTTTTTTAATACAATACTACTCATTTTAATAATTAACATTACATTTAATTATTATTCATTTCAAGATAATTTATTATTAACAGTATTTATAATATAATAATGAAAATAACAAATAAACAATAACAAATTAAAAAAACGTCATAAGTTTAGAGAATTTAAAAAGATTTTTAAAAAGATAAAAGAAAAGATAACTGAAAAGATACTGATGCGTTAATATATAAATATTTATTCTTCGAACTAGACTATCTGTTCCAAATAGAAACAGTGATTTTTCTTTGCAAAATCGAAACACTGTTTGCCTTCCTAGCTTGTTGTTGATAACCAAAAACGTCTGGAAATGAAAATGTATATCAAATGCAAAATAAATTCTTTTATTTTTAAATGCAACAAATTTAAAAATAAAATGAGCTTATTTTAAAAGAATGGAACAAATATACAAAAAGAATTAATGTATAAAAATAGAAAAAAACAAAAACTTGGCAGTTAAATTTTTAAACAAAAGTACAGAAATAAAGTTTTTATTTTCTATATAAAAAATGTTAACAATTAAAAATTTTTGTTACTGAAAATATAAAATTAAACAATATCCTTTTTTGTTTTGGAATATAAGTTAGAAAACTACAACAAATAATATATATATATATATATATATATATATATGTATATATATATATATATATGTATATATATATATATATATATATATATATATATATATATATATATATATATATATATATATATATATATATATATATATATACACATATATATATACACATATATATAGTTTTGAATATTTAACTTGAAACTCATTTTTAATTAAGACAACCCTATTTTATTTCCAGTAGAAAGACAGATTTAAAAGAAATCTGTAAATTTTCATTTATTTTTATATTTTTACTTCAATTTTTAAATTGCTGAAATTGTTTTTTATGAAACATAATGGTAAATTTAATTTTTGCTGATTTTTTTTATTAATACAAGTTATTCATTAACCAATCACAGACTAAAAGAAATGAAACTCATACCACAAACATTATTATAATTATTATTCTTATAAATATAATAATAATGTCCTTATAATTATGTTTGCAATATCAGTTTCATTTCATCCCATATTTTACAGAGGCTTTTAACAGTTGACTTTTAGTTTGTGATTGAGATCACTTACTGATATTGCAAACATAATTATAACTGATCATTATTCTTTTAATTATAAAAACAATGATTTTTATAAATGGTTGCGATATCAGTTTCATTTCATCCAATGTTTTACTGACGCTTTCAACAGCTGACTTTTATTTTGTAATTGTCTAATAAATTAAGAAACTTTTTTTTTCTGTATAATTTGGGCAGTTTCTATAGTCATTTATATTTAAACTTGATTTGTGATTAAAACATTATATAGCTACAAAATTTATATGACTAGAAAATGATGCACAAAAATGAAAATATAGACACCCATAACATCAGACTATCCAGTGACTATCATATTCAAAATGACAATACTAGTTAAAGACCTAAAAAAACCTAACAAAATGACAATACTAGTTAAAGACCTATAATCTTTAAAGGAATTAACTTGAGTAACAAGTTGCCTTCTGGGATCAAGAATAGTACCAAGAATAGTGTAACACCAAGTATAGCACTAAAAATAATATCAAATGTAGTACAAAAACACTGCCAAGTAGGTAGAATTTAGATTAGAAAATAGAAAACATTGTCATTAGTATTATCTACTTTTATTTAATTTAGGTATAATTTAAATTAGAAAATTTAAAACATTATTAGTATTATCTATTTTTAATTAATTTTTCAAAAAAAAAAAAATGTTCTTTAAAGTTTTTTATTTACATGCTGAAGTATTATCTGTGCATGACATAGCAATGTCAATATATTAAGAGTTGACTTCATTGATTATTTTGGCTTCTCTATTAACAAAACCTTTGCTTCTTCAACTATTCTTTTCTCTTTTAAGTATATACTTTGAATCTTTGTTTGTTGTAAATATGCCGACCAAAGATGGACGACATATCCCTAATAAGCAGATTTGACTATTTTTGTTGCATATTTTTTTCTATTTTCTATGGTGTCAAGCTTTATTTAGTTTAAAAAAAAAAGAGACCTGAATGGGTGTTCCTAGGTGTGCGATAAATAATTTGTATACATTGCTTTTGTATTAGGCAAAGCCACTTTAATTGTGCTTTGAAGTGTTGAATGCACTAGTAATACCAGTGCATTCAACAATTCAAAACACAACTACTGTTTGTTCATAACTGTTTGAAGGCCTTATACTAAAAAAATTAGTATATACCAGTGGAGATGTTATAAAGTTGATATTGTTAATTGTTTTATTTTATTTAATTGAATTCACATACAAGCTAAAAAATATATATGTTCAGTTTATAACATTTATTATAACCTAAATGGGAACTTATTAAGTCAAAAAATGTTTTAAATTGAAAAATTTAACTTTTTAATCATATCTATCCAAGAGTTTCTATATTATATATATATATATATATATATATATATATATATATATATATATATATATATATATATATATATATATATATATATATATATATATATATATATATATAAATATATATATATATATATATATATATATATATATATATATATATATATATATATATATATATATATATATATATATATATATATATATATATATTTATTTATTTAGTACCAAAATAATAAAGATGCATTTTATTGTCAATAAAATGATTTCAAATGAATATATAAGATTTCAAGAATTGTATTTTAGCGTTCTCACTGCTTTGCAACAATAACAATATGGAAGTATTGTTACTTACGAATTACCACAAAAGTAAATAAGTGCTATGTTTCACTAATAGCTTACAAATGCTGGTCTATTATGGATACCGTAGATGGGGGTAGCTAAAGCCACTTTCGAAATTCAAACTTCTGCCCAAGTCAGACCCTTTAATTTATAGGTTAAATAAATATTGCAAAACTTGGGTCTGTGGTCATATATTAAAGAAATATATTCATAAATTGCAGAAATATACATTTTTTTAATTAAAAAAATGAAAACATGGTGGCTTTAGTTACCCCTGGAAAAGGGGTAACAAAAGCCATCCATTAAAAAGTAATGTTTGGCTTTAGTTAGAGAGTGCTAGGGTAACTAAATCCATAAATCATGCATCTGTAACAATAAAGAACCACTATTGACAAGAAAAAAGCTTTATTATTTAAGAAAAACATTAAAAAGAGACAAAAATATTATTTAAAATAGGTCTTGTTGAAATCAGTGCTTTACCGGTAGTTCATAAGGAAAAGTATAACGTCCTCTGTTTACTTTGGATGGTTTCACAATTGAAATGGCGTCTGTTAACTGAATGTCCATTTCGTCATCAACATTTGGAAATATATAGTCATTTCCTTTTGATTTGGTGCTTCTTCTGAAAAACTTTATTGTAACTTCGTTCTTCTCAAAACAAGTTCTAAGAATGACTCCATAGAACTGTTTGGTGGTTTCTTTTTTTGTGTTCTTATCAAAGATGAGCTCAACAATGATGTAAATATCAGGTTTAAGTTCTCCTTTAGAGACTCCTATTTTGGGGGGTTCGTCATAAGTTGTTTCTTCTAGTTGTAGATCTACTGGTATCTCCAATTCCAGGTCATTAAATATTTCTGGATCCATATCTGAATTAGAGTCTCTCAAAGAATACTGGTCATCACTATCATCAAATGAGTCGGAATTCGCAAGTTTCTTATTATGTTTCAAAGTCTTTAGTTTGCTGTGGTTTTCCTTTGTTTTGGTATTGGGTGTATTGGACCTATTTGGTTGAGGATCATCATCATTGATCAGAATTGTGTCTTCAATCCCTTCAATCCCCTTTCCTGCTGGGACATTAAGTTTCCTTTTCTTCCGCTGTTTAAGAACTGGAGGCCTACCACATTTGTTAACCTTACCTTTCAGGGCAGCAGTGAGAGCAAATCTTGATATAGCAAATTTCTCAGCAATCTTTCTTAAAGATGACCCTTTCTTCACTTCTTCTACAGCTATTTTCAGCATTTCATCTGTGTAATCCTTATACTTCCGGCTACCAAGCTTCTTCTTTGGGTTTCGAGGCATTTTTAGTCCTAAAAAAGAGAAAAAATGTATTACTTAAGGAATTTTGACTTATTATAAAGTATGGGGTAACAAAAGCCACCTTTATGATGTGGCTTTAGTTACCCCATGTTGTGTATCACTGAAAAAAAAAACATCACAACAAAAGAAAGAATTAAGTTATAGGTTATAACCTTTAAAGGTGTGATGAAACATAAATTGAGGTTATGTTTGTTGAGAGTTATGAGAATTTAAGATTAAAAATGATTTGTTCAGAGCAGAAGTTATGCAAGGTAACTTTTTTTATCAATTTTTTAGGTTAAATATATAGTTTTACTGTACACTTACCGTGATATTGTTTTAATAATCCAAAAAAGTATTTGGAAAGCAGTCCAAGTTCCTATTAGAAGAACACAACATCAGCTGTTGAATCCAAACAGTGCTGCCTCTATCACCATCCAAAAATTACCTGCTATAATGGCTTTAGTTTCCCCGTAGGCTTTAGTTACCCCCATCTACGGTACTTTAAATTCAGATAAATGCATTCTTATGTGGATTATATAGAAATATAGATTATGAAGCAAGTATTATTGAAAAAAATTACAGTAACAGATAACCATGTAATAACATATATATATATATATATATATATATATATATATATATATATATATAATATATATATATATATATATATATATATATATATATATATGTTATATATATATATATATATATATATATATATAAATATATATATATTTATATATATATATATATATATATATATATATATATATATATATAAATATATATATATATATATATATATATATATATATATATATATATATATATATATATATATATATATATATATATATGTATATGTATGTGTATGTGTGTGTGTGTGTGTGTATGTGTGTGTGTGTGTGTGTGTGTGTGTGTGTGTGTGTGTGTGTGTGTGTGTGTGTGTGTGTGTGTGTGTGTGTGATTTTCTACTAAATTATTGCTCTGTTCTTTTAAGAGCACTCTATTTTGTAGAATACATTTTAAAATTGTTTAAATATATATATATATATATATTATTAAATATATATATATATATATATATATATATATATATATATATATATATATATATATATATATATATATATATATATATATATATATATATAATATATATATATATATATATATATATATATATATATATATAATATATGTATATATATATATAAGGCCGGCGCGAAAGGGGGTGTGGGGTAGGGTGTGACATCCCACCCCACCCCCCCCACATTAATAATTTTTAGTCGGCAAACTGGACCCTTTTAGACTAGTTAGTCGGCAAATGTGGACTCTTTCGATATAGATTAGACAGTCGGCAAATGTCGTAATGGCAGTCGGCAAATTTTGGAAAACGAGGACTTCTTTTTTTTTTTTTTTTTAGTCGCCAAAAATTGTAACGGCACCCCCTCCACCCACGTGACCTCTACTCGCGCCGGCCCTATATATATATATATATATATATATATATATATATATATATATATATATATATATATATATATATATATATATATATATATATATATATATATATATATATATATATATATATGTATATATATATATATATATATATATATATTAGTTTATGCTGTGACTGACATTGCTACCAGTAATTGTGATTTAGTAAAATATTTTCTTTATAATTATGCACAGAAAATTCTTTAGAATACTTTAGGTTATGGCCACGAGTACAATTAGATTTGAATGACTTATTACTTTATTTAGATTCAACTTTATTGTAACCTTTGAAAATTTTATGCAGTTGAGTTATGTCAACTCATTGTCTTTTTTTAACTAGTGAGGGCATTCTAAGACAAGCTAGTCGATCTTCATAGCATAATTTATTGATTAAGGTGGCACGAAGCCGTATTATTTTTAAAATGGCAATATCTCGCTTTGATAAAGAGCTCATACTGGTACAGCAAACTCTAGAAGTGGTCGAAAAAAAGAAAAAAAAGAGATTTTAGCAGTTCTGCATCAAATTGAACAAAAAAAATTTTTATTATATCAAGTACATGTATATTTGCCTTTATACATAAATAAATATATAAATGTTATACAGATACGCAAGTATTTAACATACATATATGTTTTTAACAGTGCGTGCATTATAAACAAATGAAAAATACATTTTATTTTATTAATAAAATTTATTTGGGGATAAATCATATAAATTTTATATAACATATATCATAGCTTATTTGTTATAAAATTAAACTTATTTGTTTACGCTTGTATCGATTGGATACCATTTTTTATTTTTCTTAATTTAATAGAAAATTCTTCCGACAGCAGTTTTAACAGAGGGTAGAGCGGGTTAGATTTTGGCGTTACCAGCCTTCCGATTACTAAATCTTTTCCTGCCCTTAACAAAATTGAGACATAAAAATACGTATTTTTATGTATTTAATTATATATAATGTATTTAACTATATATATAACTCGTATATACCAGTTTATTTTATCGCTGGCGTAAAAAGCTGCCGTTTTATTTTTAACCAGCCGATAGCATATCGAATGACAGTGCAAAAAATATGGCAAAATTGACAGAAATATTGGCTTCTAGAAAACTTTTAAAAAATATATCCATAAGTTTCAAATGTATTTTTCAATGTATTTTATATGTATATGTATATATATATATATATATATATATATATATATATATATATATATATATATATATATATATATATATATATATATATATATATATATATATATATAAATATATATATATATATATATATATATATATATATATATATATATATATATATATATATATATATATATATATAAATATATATATATATATATATATATATATATATATATATATATATATATATATATATATATATATATATATATATATATGTATATATATATATATATATATATATATATATATATTTATATATATATATATATATATATATATATATATATATATATATATATATATATATATATATATATATATATTACGGTATAATATATATATATATATATATATATATATATATATATATATATATATATATATATATATATATATATATATATGTATATATATATATATATATATATATTATACCTTTTATAAGATTAGTCATTATTCTGGGCGTCACATTCAAATCAAAGCCCAATCTTGTTAGAAAGTAATGCCACCCTTAATGTTCCACAATTTGATATTTCCATAGTGCTTCATCAACACGAGTCTGCTGGTACGCTTTCTTTAAATTATCTCAAGATTTTCTCTAATAGCGATGTTTGGTACTGCAAACATTTGTTGTTTGGTGCAAACCATCTAATCATTTTGGCCATCTGTAATATGACTAGATACAAAGGATTCAGTTTAAGTCCATTACCGGATGTACTTTAATTTGTTTCGTTGAATTACTGCCATCAACGGAATGATGTCTTAACATCTCTTTTCAAATGGTTTCACATTTCCCTGCGCTATTCATTCTTTTTTTTCCATTACGTACTAACTTTTAACATCTTGAGAGATATAATAGGTAGCACGTTATGGTCTTTTGTTCGTGTCTTTGAGGAACTTGCTTTGGACTAATGGCAATACGATTCACGCAACTAATAAAACACAATTCTTTGCGACATAAGATTACCTTCTTGAAACTTCTTGATTTTTTAGCGACATTGTACAGCAACATGGTTGGTATTGATTTACGAACTCTTCGTATCCTGTTAGCGGAGAAGCAGAGAAAGCAGTAGTCAGTGCATTTTTCACTTCATTGTAGTCTTCTTTTATCTCATCACTGAAGCCTTGATAAACGGCAAACACCCCTCCAGAAAGAAATAAGGGGAGCACTACATTGAACCCGTCAACTATTTGAAGTTTTGCTACCAGTTCCAATTTCTGTATCCATTCTGAAAATTCACCCGAACCATCGTACTACGACGCCAAATCTGCAAACTATATCACAATGCTCATGGCCGAAATAGATTGTAATAGTAGTGAGGCCTCACGGGTATTTGCAAATGTATATATTTTGAGTAAAGATATTTATGACGAGAGATAGAAAAAACAAATATAGACTTACTATTACAATCTATTTCGGCCATGAGTATCGTGATATAGTTTGCGGATTTGGTAATGATTTGGTAATTTGATAATGTTTATCATACCCTCGAGGGTATGATAAACATTATAAACGTTATAATATAATGTATGACGCACCCAAAACATTCCTTCTGACGCAACATAATAGTTTATATATAATACAATTATTTTCACGAACTACAGCAACCGAGGATTAAACCTTATTTAACTTCTTACAAAATCATTAATGTAACGAAATCCAGATTGAGTGTATACTGTTTTCATTCAGTAAGGTTTCAAATCCAACAATATGTTTTGTTTGTTACACTATTAAATTTTTTTTTTTTTTTCAAAGTATGGATTTATGTCAATTTGAAAAACTTTAGAATAAATTATATTATTTTAAGTTATTACAATATTAAAAAAAAAAAAAAATTCTTTCAACGTATGTCAACTTGGATTCTCAAAATCAGCAAAATTATATCAAATTTTCAGAAATAATTGTTATTTTGTAATGATTTATGCCATTAAATCTTAAACTTGCTATAGATTTTACTGCATAAAAAGGGTTTTTTGACTTAAAATTAAAAAGTACATTTCTACAAATTTTTTAATAACTAACTTTTTTAAACGTATTTTTTTATAAAATTTTATAATTAATGAGCATTATTTTTATCACATACTTGTTTTTAATCTAATAATTGTAAAGGAAAATAAGGCGTAACTTTACGCAACGGACTCTAAACAGTTAAAATCGTAAACTCTCGGATACAGTTTTATAATTGGCTCATTCGAAATAAACAATTTTTAGTAAAAAAAAAAACTTACAGGTTCAGCATTCAAAGTCCGTTTTCAAACAATTTTAAATAAAAAAATTACTCATTCAGCAAAAAATCCTTAAAGAAGGAAAGCTATTAGACTTTCAACCGCCAAGTCATTCCAGAAACTGTGCTAAGAACGGTGGTAAAGTATGATTTACTTAACAGTAGTATAAGGATTTTAATTTAATTTTAAATTTCTT